AAACTGAGGACTGATGGATGTGGGGGGAGGAGGGATGGGCATGGAGGAGGGCACTTGTGGGGATGAGCACTGGGTGTTATGTGGAAACTAATTTGACAATAAACTATTTGTAAAAAAAAAAAAAAAAAAGAATATAAAGAATATAAGAATATAGTGGCGCCTGGGTGGCTCAGTCGGTTAAGCATCTGACTTCAGCTCAGGTCATGATCTCACGGTTCATGGGTTCGAGTCCCTGTGCTGCCAGCTCAGAGCCTGGAGCCTGTTTCGGATTCTCTCTCTGACCCTCCCCTGTTCATGCTCGCTCACTCTCTCTCTCTCTCTCTCTCTCTCCTCTCTCTCTCAGAAAGAAATAAAACATTTAAAAAAAAAGAATATACGAATATAAACAATAACAATAATAGTAATAAAACAAAATCCTGACTCTTTAACCTGCTTTACAAAATCCTTCCAATCTGCCTCCTGCCTTCTTGTTGCTCAGCTTCCCTGTTCCCCTCCTCCCCCTCCAGCCCCAGGGGACCCTGGCTGTCCTTCAGGTCCTCATATGGGCCTGGCCCTACCCCAGGGCTTTTGCACTGGCTATTTTCCCTACCTGGGCCTGCCCCCCAGCTTTACTGAAGTATAATTGACAGAAAATGACACATAATGACAACAATTTGGTGACTTTGGACATACGCTACATTCATGTTATCTTCACTACAATCAAGGTTATAAACATATCCATCACCCCCAAAACTTTCTTAGATTTTGTGTGTGTGTGTGTGTGTGTGTCTGTGTATGTGTGTGTTAAGAACACTTAACATGAGATCTATCCTCTTAAAATGTTTGAGTGCCCAATACTCTGTTAACCGTAAGCATTACATTGTACAGCAGGTCTCTGGACTCAACTCATATTGTGCAAATAACTATACTCACTGAACAACGGCTCCCCACAGGCCCTCCCCCTGCCCCCCTGGGAACCACCATTCTGTTGTCTACATCTCTAGCTTTGCTATTTTAGATGCATCTACATACATGAGTCATCACGCGGTATTTATCCTTCTGGGACTGACTTCCTTCACTTAGCATAATATCTCCCTGGTTCATCTACGTTGTCACAGATGCTAAGATTTCCTTTTATTTTTGAAGGCTGGACAATACTCTGTTGTGTGTATGTGTATATATATACACACTACATTTTATCTATTCATCTGTCGACTGGCAGGTACGTAATTTCCGCCTCTGGCCGTCAAGAGTAATGCCGTAGCGACCATGGCAATGCACACACTGCCTTGGGATCTTGATCCTGATTTCAATTCTTTTGGATACACCCCAGAAGTGGGATTACTGGGTCATGGGACGGTTCTATTTGTAATTTCTTGAGGAGCCTCCATTCTGTTTCCCACAGCAGCCACGCATTGCACACTCAGCCAACATTCCAGTTCCCCCACATCCTCACTGAGGCCTGTCACCGTCTGCTCTTTGGGAACAGACATTCTAACAGGTGTAAGGAGGTATCTTACAGTGACTGTGATCTGTATTTCCCTCATCTCTTGCTCTTCAATGGCTCTTTCTTGTCACTCAGGTCTCAGATGGAAAATCACCTCCTCAAAGAAGCCCTCCAGACCCTGTAAACCAGTGGAGTAGCCAGCTGTTCGTTAACATGCTCAATACTATGTAGCATTTGCCACTAGCTGATCATTTTTCCTCAATGTTCTTGTAGTTATCAACTGTGTTTCCCCCCATGAGAATGTTAGCACTGTGAGAGCAAGGGCTGTTGTCCTTTTTTTTTCTTTTTTTCTTTTTAATGTTTTATTTATTTCTAGGAGAGAGAGAGAGAGACAGTGTGAGCAGGGGAGGGTCAGAGAGAGAGGGAGTCACAGACTTTGAAACAGGCTCCAGGCTCTGAGCTGGCAGTCAGCACAGAGCCCGATGCGGGGCTCGAACCCACGAATCCGTGAGATCATGACCTAAGCGAAAGTCGGACGCTTAACTGACTAAGCCACCCCGGCGCCCCTGTCCTTTTTTTTTTTTTTTTTTTAACCTATGAATACTCAGTCTCAGAATAAGAAGGCCCTCAAAATGTTTGTTGACTGACTAAATGAATAAATTACTTCTGTGTCTAATACTAAGGGTCAAGGCAAGGGAGGAAATACTTATTGGGCATCTAACACGGCAGATGCTATGCCAGGTGCTTTAAATGCAGTTTCATGCTTAGTCTCAAAACACGCCTCTAAGTTTTTCCGTCCCCATTTGGCAGTTGAGGAAACCAAAGCACAGAGAGGCTGAGTAACTTGCCCAAGGTCACATACTTGGTAATTGGAAGGGGTTAAAGCCGAACCCAGGTCAGCCTGACCCTCCCTCCATGCCCTGCTTCTTCCATGACAGCTGCTGCTTCCCCGTTTCCCGCCCTCAGAACTTCAAATCACCTGCAACTTTGCTCCTTGCTTGCTGTGAGCAACGAGCTTAACCTCTCTGTGCCTCAATTTCTCCACTCCGATTGGTGGGGGGGGACATAAAGTAGGTTTCTATGAACATCAAAGGAGACAGAACATATAAAAAATTATAAACCGTGAAGAAACAGGAAAGTACAGGTGTTAGCCATGCCTGTGACCACGTACCTAACGCTCTCCTCACCTCCGCCAACCCTAAAGGAGCCAGTCACTTGCGCAAATCTTTGCTGCCACCTATGCCCTGACCACTGAAGCCTGGGCCTCCCCTGTGGCCGTCAGGTCCACGAGGATGTCCGAGTTCCCTGGCTGTGGGGAGACACGGCATCTGTTGTTTCACGGCCCTCCGGCTCGTCCTGATTCCTCTGCTTGCACGCCCTCTTCTGACTTCACCCCGTCCGGGCCAGGCATAGCCCGTCTACACCCGCAGTAGTGAGCACGGAAGGGATGTGTGGCCTCACCTGCCTCCCCGGAGCAAGGGCGGCGGCCTGTGCATCTCGGGGGCTGCCCCTGCACCCCTGGGCCCCGCGAGCCACTTACGTTTTCGCTGTTGACATCGGCTTCGCTGGGGCAGCCGAACAGCTCTCGCCTCAGGAGGTTCCCGTCGTACTCCAGGAAGGTCAGGTACAGGTTCCGGAAAAACTCCACGTGCTTGTTCTTCACCCGCAGCTTCTTGGGGGAGTTCCAGTGAATGACCTGCCAGGGCGACCAGGGGGCAGTCAGGCCGGGAGGACCTGTGCAAAGACCCGGCTGGGCGCCTGTCTAAGCAGTGTTGGGGGGCTTGTCCATGCTCTCATTCATTCACTCATTCGTTCACCGAGTATGCCGCAGTGGTGACGAGGAAGGGCACAGACTGCCTGGGGCCAAATCCTGGCTCTGCTCTATAGTTCCTTCATCTTGGACAAGTGACTTACTCCCTCTGTGCCTCAGTTTCCTCATCTGTGTAACGGGAATAGCGACAGCTCCCGCCTGTGCCAGCATGTTAGCTTCTGTCTCTCAGCTCCAAGCTTGCTTTGTGATGCTGAGGTGGGGACTCTGCAAACCCTATTCTGCTTTGCCAGCCACCTCCTGTTAGGTGCTGTCAGCAGGGGCTGTGAGAGGGAGACTGAGGATCTGGAAGAAGGAAAAAGGGATGTGGCCCTCCTGTTGCTTCCTGATTCTGCAAGTATCACCCTACTTCCTTTTTTTTTTAACCTGAGAGGGATGCACCATCTCAGAGCCGCAGCCAACTCGTTGGTGCACGTGAAGCACATAAGGAGTGTCTGGCCAAGTGTGGGTGCTCAATACAGGCTGGCTACTAAGTGCCGACCCTGTACCAGGTTGGAAGAGGGGCAGTGACCCCTGCTGACAGTGCTCGCCCTTGGTTGGCTGGTGATCAGAGGGAGATGTTTCCAGAAACAAGTCATAGAAGGTGATCATGAAGGAGGGGCATGGAGAATGAGAGCTCTGGGGCCTGAAAGATGAAGCACTTTCCTGGGAGGCGGGGGCAGGCATGGAGGGGAGGGTGGGGGCACAGTCCAGCCAGAGGGAAGACCGGTGGGAAAATGAGAAGTCACATGCTGCAGCCGGAGCCCGGGTGCTGGGGGGCGGGGGGGAGGGGTGATGAGGCTGCAGGGGTGAGCAGGGTGCAGGGAGAGCCCGGCTCCACGGAGGTCATGCTCAGAACTCAGCTGTGGCACTGGAGACCTTACGGAGGAGGAAATTACTAACTCTGGGTGTGAGTGGGAGCCTCTGACTATACTGGACAAGACATGAGTGGAGCGGTGGATGGGCAGCTAAAGGGGCCATTCAGCGACGCCAGTTAGGAGTATTTTCCAGCAGGCACAGCTCATGCCCTTGGCGGGGGGGTGCCCTTCACCATCAGCTTTATATTTGTGGTCATGTAATCCTCATGGTGACCCGAACAAGGAGTACTATTAAAAAATTTTTTATCTCTTTATTTTTGAGAGAGAGATAGAGAGAAAGGATCAGAGCCCAATGTGGGGCTGGAACACACAAACCGTGAGATCATAATCTGAGTGGAAACCAGAAGCCCCAGCCGCCTAACCAACTGAGCCACCCAGACATCCAGGAATGCAGTTTTATTTTTTATTTTATTTTATTTCTGAGAGAGAGAGAGAAAGAGAGAGAGAGAGAGAGAGAGAGAGAACTGGGGAGGGTTAGAGAGAGAGGAAGGTACAGAATCTGAAACAGGCTCCCGGCTCTGAGTTAGTTGTCAGCACAGAGCCGGATGCAGGGCTCAAACCCACGAACCAGGAGATCACGACCTGAGCTTAAGTCAGACCCTTAACCGACTGAGCCACCCAGGCGCCCCGTAGGAATGCAGTTTTAAAGAAGAAAGAAGAAGTGACTTGCCCAAGGCTGCAAGGCTGGTAAACATGGGAGCCGGGGTTCAAACCTAAGTCTGAATAAACCTGATTCCAAAGCCGACGTTCTTCTGTCCACACGGCAGAGAACAGGAGAGGCCAGGTTGTAAACACTTACCTGTTCATGCCTTCTCACATCGCAGAAGAAATAAACCAGCTCTCACCTTGCCCTAGCTCATCTCTCATGGTGGGGGGACCGGCAAGAGCTGACACTGAGACAGAGGAAGGGATTGGGGTGTCAGAGCTCGGTCTTTTCCTGGCTCCCTCCTTCAGCCACATTCTCTCTGCGGGAGCCTCAACAGGGCGGCCATTAGAGAGGTCTGGAAGGCCCGCTTCCCCCTGCCGCTCTCTCAGGGTTCTCTGGAGGTATGGTAGCCGCAGCCCTTGAGGCTGGCTGGGCAAATACTCCTTTGCAAGACCAAGTCCCTGTCTCAAGGCAAAGGGAACAACAGGAGACCTGACTGGTGCAAACCACACCAGACCAGAATGGTGCAATGGCGGAGCCAGAACCCGAGGCATCAGGCCAGCCGGGGTTTGAATCTCAGCTATGCTCTTCAGTAGCTGTGTGGGTCCTGGGGCAGCTCGTTTCACTTCCTGGGGCCTCAGTTTCCTCGTGTGCAAGGTGGGAATCAGTAACCCTGACTCCACAGAGTTGCTAAGAGGTTTAAACGGATGCCTACCTGGCCCAGTGCCTGTATGCGGGGTGGCCCCACCTTATGTGGGTTCTCATCTCCCCTCAAAGATGGTGGCGGCATCCTGCCCTCTCTTCGCCTCCTGCCAGCATGAGGTCCACCCACTGGAGCAGTAATTCAGGAAGCCAGTGTTTAGCATCCAGGACAGTGCAGAACAGCCTGCAGACCCTTCCTGGAATGAGGCCACTTGGTGGCACTTGCATTTCAGAGAAGGAGTGTGTACAGTGCGTTCTCTTCCTGGGCCTTTTGAAGGATGCGAGAGGGAAGGAGAGGGAAGGCTCTCCCCTGAGTACACACCAACCTGCGCATGAGAAGGTCCTGGGCCACGCATTAAAATAATTGCATGCGGGCTGGTGTCACTCACACCCTGTGGGGATCATGTCTTTGCTGCAAGACATTTTGGTGCTTGCCAAGTGCTGAGGCAGCAGGAAGGCTGATGGATATGCATCTGACTCAGGAAACCTGAACTTCCTCAACAGGGAGAAACTTCCACTAAGTAAAAATAAGGGCTGCCTCTGTGTCCCCGGACAAACAAATCTTCACTCCTTGTGTACAAATCTGCCAGGCACTTTGGAGACACTGTGTCATCAAATCCTCCAAATAAGCCCATTTGGATCCTACTGTCCATTTTACGAAGATGGTACTTGACTTGCCCGTATCTCACAGCTGGTAAGCAGCAGAGCTGAGACATGAAGCCAGCTCTGAACCTGAAACCCCAGCTTCCTAACTGCTATCACGTACGGCGCCAACGGGCTGAGCACTTTGCAGACAAGGACAGTGAGGCTTACGGAGAAGGTGGCTTGCCCAAGATCACAAGGTGAGTTTGGACTGGGTTAAGGCTACAAATGAGGAGCCAGGTCTCACTCCAGGCCACCTCTTATCCCAGCATGCCTCATTCTTCTCTGTGTCTGCAGAGGGTTCTGGGTCTGCCTATCACATCCAGGTAAATACTGGTGACAGGTGTTCTTTTTTTTTTTTAAATTATTTTAAATGTTTTATTTATTTATGAGAGCGAGAGAAACAGAGACAGAGACAGTGTGAGCAGGGGAGGGTCAGAGAGAGAGGGAGATACAGAATCCAAAGCAGGCTCCAGGCTCTGAGCTGTCAGCACTGAGCCCGATGTGGGGCTCGAACCCACAAACCATGAGATCATGACCTAAGCTGAAGTCGGACGCTTAACTGACTGTGCCACCCAGGCGCCCCTGGGGACAGGTATTCTATAGGGCACTTGTGGGGATGAGCACTGGGTGTTATACGTAAACCAACTTGACAATAAACTATTTAACTATTTAGCAAAGGTTAAAGGGAGAAGAAGGTGGCATCATTGGCAGGCTAAGGGGATTCTGGGAAACCCTTTGCAACCTGGCTGCCCTGTGACAGGGAAGCTGACTCAAAGATCCTGGTGCCTGCCAAGTCCTACACCAGCAGGAAGGCTGATGGATGTGCGTCTGACTCAAAAAACCTGAGCCTCTTCAATAGGGAGAAACTTAACATATATTCAGATTTACCTTTTTCTCCTTAGTTTTTCATCAGCTAGACACAGCATACTCCATTCCCTTGTGCTAGGCTCCAGAGAAGTAAATGACAGCTATGTTTATCTAATACCCATCACACCCTAGATATTAGGCTACGTTTGGTATGGGTGTGCATGTGTGATGTTTCCACACTGAATCCTCAAAACAACTTGGTAAATTATGTCTATTATCCCCATTTTACAGTCGATAATTCTGAGGCTGAGCCTAGCGCAGGGTCACTCAATTTGCAAGTAACTGACTCTACTACAAAATCAGGTCTGTCGTGCTCCCAAATCATTTTCTTTCTATCACATCATTCATTTATTCAATACATATTAAAAATGAGCATTGACTGTGTGCCAGGCCCTGAGAGGGGCTGTGAAGGCAGAGATGAACACAAGAGATCATGACTCTCTGGAACTGACAGCTGAGAGAGAGAGGCAGACATTATACAGCTGCCCATTTTAAATTATAGGTATGATGTGTCCTCTTAAAGAGATGTTAAAGAGAGGCTGTTATTGATGGTTCCTGAGCTGAGCCAAGGCCCAGAGGGAGAAAGTGACTTGCCCAGAGCCACACAGCAGAGGGAGGATTTGTGCCCAGGATCTGTCTCCTGGGGCACTGTTCCTTCCACTAAACCATATGCCTGCCTCTGAAAATCTGACTCAGAATTAGTATTGCTGATAATTTTGATCAGCGCTTGTCTGACGACTGAGAAATGTCATTTCCTGGTCCTCTGAGGGACAGAATCACCCATCATTGCTGGCTTGGGGGCAGCAAGCTGGTGGTGTAGGTGACATTTGCTGACAAGCTTTCACACATGAGATGGAGTGACACTGGAGAATGTGTCCCGAAAATAGATTTTTGCAAGGAGCCGGTAAGTGTGTGTGAGTCTCCCAAGGCTTGTGGTAAAAACCCATCATAACTTATTCCACTGACTGAGGCACATTAGCATGGCAATAATAATTATTATCAGCAGCTAACATATACAGGAGGTTTGCTACGTGCCACGGCACTGCTCTGAATACTTTGCTGTCATAGCTCCCTTAACACGTGCATTCACCGCTACAAGTGATCCTCTCATTATCTCATCTTACAGGTGAGGAAAGTTCAGCAAATTGCCC